GTATGACACCTAAATCTAGAAGACGCTGAACTTCACGTTCAGCTGCTTGTCGATGAGCAAGAGGAATGTTACGGTACTTGGCTCTAATTGGGACATGTGTATCGAGCACAATCGTCTGCTCCATTAAGTTAGTACAACCTATATCGTCATCACTTTCGGAGAATATTTGCTTGAATTCGGTTACAAGTGATTTGATTTGATTTATCTGCTCGGCATCTAAATGGGTCAAATCATCTAATTTAAGCAATTTATAAAGACGATCAATCTCATTACCAGACCATCGTTGGTTGGACTGCTCATTAACATTGTTTACTGTGTGATTCGATTGACGACGAGAGTGGATGCTCAAACAGTTGTTTACGTTATTAACAAAACTATCGGACAATGTGTCAAACGTACCAACTTTCATGTTCCTATGTACGATAACCTCGTTCTTAGTATCATTACAAACCAAAACGTCCAATGTGCCACGATGCGAGTTATAAAATCCACTGCTTGAGGATACACATTTAAGTTGGGGGTGCACAATACCAGTTGTTGAAATGTAGGCTTGTGATCGATACTTCCTATTATGAGGGTTGTGCTTCAACAAATTGCACTTTACTAGGGCAACGGTTTGTGGCTTGATCGATAAGGAACAATTGGCAACAAGGAAATGCTTAGAAGGTTTACAAGAAGCTTTAATTAATGGGAGTTCTTGATCATTAATCGTTAATGTCAAGTTTTTAAAGCTGATTTCACAATCAGTCGCTGACATGAAATCACGGCCAAGGATTAATTTATGGTTTATCCCTGAAACAACTATGAGTTGGAGAGTAATTCGAACGTCACCAAAATTAACAGGCAAACTGACAGTTCCGGAAATACATAAAGGGGTTCCAGTAACACCATTTAGTCGAACTGAAGTGGGCGATAAAACGACGTCAGGCGGCAAAATATCCTCAGAGCATAATGAGTAAGCAGCACCTGTGTCTACCAAACAATTGACAAACAGTGAACCTATATTAGCAGCTACGTAAATATTAGAAGAGTTATTAGATTTACGATGAATGTTACTAAAGGCCAAACCACTCGAATTTGTGACATTTACTGACGAGGGCTCGGCCCTGCCTGAAAATTCTGGGCCTCGTCACTAGCTTTAGTTCTGCAATTACGGATGAGGTGTCCGGAGCGATTGCAATACCAGCACCGCTTTTGGGAGTTCCTATTGTTGTATCTGTTGGGATTTTGAGGAAAACCAGTCCTATTGGCAAATCCAACGTTGTTATTGGTAGCTCTATTCGAATATGGAGGAACATGCTCACGCTGATAGCTTTGAGGATTGGGCGCATTTCGAGGTAATGTGCCGTAGGTTGAAATATCGAAGTCAGGATGTAATCTATTATCAGGCGGGCCGGCTACTGCTTGATCAGATGCCGGGGTTCGTCTTGCGGGTACGGTCGCAAGGATCTCAAGGCCTGTAGTATCATTGGAATCTGCTGCAATTGGTCTGACATATTTACGTATCTTAGAAGCTCCATCAATTTTCTGGGCTTGTTCCAAAGCTAACGAAAGTGCATCAAAACTATGTTCAAGAAGTTTTATGCTCAGATCAGTGTCTCGCACACCTGTACAAAAAGAATCAACAAGAAGCTCCTCTTTCGCAGGTTTTGCAACACCAGCCTTATTGGCCAGCATTTCAAGAGCAAATGCAAACTCGGCTAGGGATTCATCGGATTCCTGTACTCTATAACGAAGTGCAAGTCTAGGTGGAATCTTATCTTTACGTTTTAAAGCTCTTTCAAGAATAGGACCAAACTTAGTAGGATCTTCCTTATCACCTGCAGCAAACTCAAGGTTCTGAACTATGGTAAAAGCTGACGTATCTAGGAACGAGCTTAGTGCAACAAACTGATTTTTAGTGTCAATCGATACTGCTGTTGCATAGTTAGTAAACTGAGCGTACCAGGTTTGAAAATCATCGTTTGTGTTGAGTTTAAATACGGACGGCTGTTTAGCAACAGACATGACAGAGTTAAAAGCAGGCGATAGTCGCTGTGTCGCTGTCAACTTTTAAAATAAAATGAAATAACGGTATCTACACGGTAGATATAAATACAAGTAACTGAAAAGTAAGGCTAAAAGAAATCAATTGGGATCGAAAATGCCCGCGTATGTAATAGCTTGAAGTACTTTACTTACATAATAACCAATAGAGACACGATCATGATTGATGATAAAGTCTTTAAGAGATGCGTATAGTAAATCGTGAATACAATAACTGAACTCTTAACAAAAATATCTGGTACATATTAAATCTCAATCTGCAATCGCCCACCCGCGGAATGCGGTCACTTAGGTAATTGGGAGGTGGTCGCGGCCACGTTCTCGGGAACTATTTTCACAAGTAAGAGGACACTCCTAATTGGTGCAATGTTGTTTTAGAAGGCTGGATTCCTGGAACTCAAAGGTGATCCGTCTAGATTCTGCAAGTCGCTTGCAGAAACCGGATAAAAGTAGCACAAAGGAATTTGGAACATGAGGTGGTTTAACTAAATACAGGTTATCGTAACCTGTTATGATGATGTTTTTAGCGGCAAAAGTGGAGACAGGTTTGGCGTTTGCTGGAGTCCAATAATTACTTAACAGTCTTGGCACTTCTCCCTCCAGTATGCAGTAAGTGTAACCACTTTTCAGGTTTCTATAGTGCATAGTGACAGTGTATAGGGGTTAATTAGGTATAAACTACAGTACAGCTGTACTTACACCTACATTCGCAAGCATGCAAGCTCACCTGGTCTAATGAGCGGGAAACGGAGGACAAGGTCTGGTGACGTCATAGTCACGTGACCTCATAGGCTCATAATCACGTGACCTCAGACCCAATCAATGATCAATTAGGTTTGGGCATGGTCAGCCCCCTGTCACCCGATCTTGAGGTGACGTACGACACCTCGTTTACGCAATCAATGTCTGAAAGTCTACACACGTCGCATATGAGGACAAAAGCGCGGGTAATTTTGGCACCACTGTAGAGTGGTGCCAAAATCGTTGGGTGGGTTCATGGCTAGAGCCCTTTTTACCGCCGTGAGGCGGGGGCGCGCTACTGCAAGCGCAAGGGCTCTGGATAGAGCAACTTGCAGTAGCATGCGACCGCCGGAGGCGTCACGCAGTACGCGTAGACACATGGCTATGTGAATACAACATATAACAGTACGCTTGTTTATAGAGTAATGAAATGTTGCATTGTAAATATTTAGAATTGACGATATATTATGATCTAATAGTAAATTTGACAAAGCAGGCTTTGGATTTAGGTAAGATTATAATTTATTTTATTTATTTATTTATTTATTTTCCACGCGCACGGATAGTTTTAAATTTATTTCTATTGGAATTTGACGTATTGAAATACCAATTTTGACTATATATCCACAGTTATTCACCATGGATTTGTTTGTTATTAAATAGTTTTTCATAAATTTTTGGATTTAGATTAATTCGATGTAATGGGTCCAAGTTACTGCGGACATAGTTCACTATGTGTTTACCGTGTTTGGGTGCCCATCATATTTTAGAGATGGGGGCGATATTTTGAACGATTCTATTTTATATTCATCTATTGCTGTACTCTGTAAAATTTGAAAAGTATTTAATAAAAAAATGTGTCGTATAATTATAAACAAGTTAATTCTGTTTTCATGAATGCGCGGCTTTGGCGGCCATGGCGCCATGCCAGTTATTGACTTATACATTAAATTGAATTTTTAAATAGAAATGTGAATATATTAAAATTTAAAACTTTCAAAACGGAGGCTTATAAATATTATTATATTATGATTGTAAAATAAAGGATAAAATTTTAAATTTGTTTCACTAAAATTTCTCATTAAAATTTGTTTCACTAACAAGTAAAATGTTGACGTAAGTTTGAGTTGCTATTTTAACCTGGCCGGGCTAAAAACGTTATTTATAAACAACTACTTTTGTGAAATGGTTTTTTAAATTTAGACGCAGTTTATTCACCTAACTACGTGCTTTCGCACAATAGCGAAGTAGTTTTTGTCAAAGTGATTTTGAACCATTTCTCGTTCAATTTTGGTTGTCGTTTGTCAACTTAGTCAAGAAAACAACAATTTTTTCAAGAAAACAACAATTTTATTTAGTATCAATTAAAGCAGACAAAAATATATTTCATATATATATAACTAGCACGAACTTTAGATCAGATATCTTAGGGGACTTGGAGTAGCAAGAGATTGACTAGAAGGTATATACCTTTTACAAAGATACGTCGAGAAGAATCCAGGGTGATACAGGATCGGAGAGTGCAGACCAAAAGTTTACGCACCCACCTTTGCCTCCTGAGTTCTTGGTTGGATAGAAATTTATGCAAACTTGGTCGTTTATACTCCAAGTCCCTTTCTTAAAAGAAGTAGTATTAACTATGTCACGTCTAGAGTTAGCTTCGTTCAATAATAACAATATCAATATAATCAATATCAATACCAGATAAACCTACCGAATAAATTATTAAATATCAATTAATTCATTCCGATAAAATTTAGATATTTAGTATCTAAAAACATTACAACAACTGGTTAAAAAGCGCCCAAAATCGATTTGAAAGATTTTCTGTCTATAGTACAATCATGATAGTAATAGTAAGTGTGTGCCGCTGCAATTTGATTTGATTACTGCAATTTAAAATTGTTTGGAGTCCAAGTATCTTTTAAGTCAGCTGCCTGTGCTTGTATTAATAGTGCTTTGGTTCTCAGTTTTATCAAGCTAATGGACGTTTCTAAGCAATTGCTTGAAGTTAAAATTTTTTTATGAACAGCGTTCCAAAGCTTGGCTGCATTAAACAAAAAGGTATTTGATTTATTTAGGAGAATAACCGTGAGACTCGTTGCACGGTTTGAAATGTTGATAGCCTCATAAAGGGAGTATGGGCAGTGGTACTTGATAATCTTAGAGAATTCTAAGATGCAGTGATATTTGTACAAGTTATGAGCCGTAAGAATTTTTAATCTATTAAAAATGGGTTTTGTATGCTCCTTTTCAAAGTGTTTATGGTCTAGTTTTTGCATACCGTATGGTCTAGTACGTGCACATGTTGATTGTTTATCTAAATATGAGTCAAGGTCGCCAAAAAGGATCCTTATACAGTGCTTCTGTGTGATGAAAAGACTATCATTGGACCGTTCTTTGAGGACAACACCCCAAACACTTATACCATAACTGAGATGTGATTCAAAAAGAGCGTTATATATTTTCAAATATAGTTCAGAAGGTATCGAGTGCCGAATTCTGCAGATTGCACCAGTCATAGATCGCAGTTTTTTACGGATGTAGTGCATGTGGGCAATCCAGTTTAGCTTACTATCTATAACAACACCTAAGAATTTGGTATCCTTGACTTTAGTAATAACCTTACCATTGATGAATATTGATCTAGATTCATCTAGCAGGATAGCAAATGGTCTGGTCCGTGCACAGGTGTCATCATATTCAGAGGCAGGTTTAAAATGTATGTAGCAGCATTTGGACATGTTGATATGAAGTAGATTACATTTCATGTAAATCGAGACATGTTTAAGTACTAAGTTGGCTTTTTTGTATGTTGCTTCTCTAGATGGTCCTGATATGAAGATATTAGTGTCATCAGCATAAAGTACAAATTTCACCTCACTGTCTGAAAAGCAGTTTACTATATCGTTCATATACAATAGGAAGAGTAACGGCCCTAGAATTGACCCTTGTGGTACTCCAAATTTCACGTCCATTGTTTCTGATGGTACATCGTTATACATAACATACTGCTTTCTGTTAGTCAAATAGCTTTTTAGTAAGGTAAGTGCTGTGCCCCTAATACCGTAGGAATTTAATTTGCATAAAAGAATATCGTGATCAAGGGTGTCGAAGGCTTTGCTCAAGTCAATGAATATCCCTAGGACATGTTTATTGCTTGCCAGAGACTTAGTAACGGAGTCTATAGATTTGTGTAGAGCATGGGTGGTAGAATGGCCTTTTCTAAATCCAAACTGTGAGTCTGTTAGTACACCTTTAGATGTGAAGAAATTATAGAGGCGTTTATAAATGACCTTCTCGAAGATTTTTCCAAATAAAGGTAATATTGATACAGGCCGATAATTTTCAATGCATTCCTTATTGTCTTTCTTGTAAATAGGAATAACGTGTTAAGAATTAAACTCATTGCACTGAGGGGAATCAAAGGAAGATCAACAGCCCGCAGCATCTTGAACTGCAAAACGTTTCCTTCAATCTCATCCCCCAGAAGACGAGCTTTGAGGTCTCCTCGATTAGTTTATGTAAATTTTGTAGATGTTTTATTGTACTATTTTATATTGTATACAATTTTACAGACGAAATGATCCCATGGGGGACTACCAACCCACCGCTGTGTAGTTGATGCACGGGTAGTTGATACACCGTTCACAAGCAAGAGCCACCTTAGTCTACTTGCTGTGAGGTGTCTTCGCTACTTTTTAATATGTGTTGATTATGGGTATAATTGAACACTTTTGTTTTAATAAAATCTCTGTTTCACCAAATATTGTACGGTTTGTGCCAACTTTTGGACATTTTTATTTTAAATTTAACTACACTGACACATTATCACTCTTTGCCTACACTGGCCCATCTGTACATCAAACGGTGCTTCGATTACACATCAGAACACAAGAATGTGCAGAGTGCAGCAAATGAGGCTATAGTGTTGGAAACTTGCTTAAACGCAAATGCAGCCATATTGGTTATGACTATTAATAGTACTTCAATGATGTCTGTCTTGATTTACACAAATATATGGTGTGCAGCTCTGATGCTTTAATCTTCCTTTCAAACCAGTAACTTGATGTACCACAAATTTTTTCCCGATCCATGACTCAAAGTGCCGAAGGCACAAAAGAGTCAAGGACAAGGGTTAGCGATCGAGGTTTTTTTTTGATATGGTAGCTTTGCGACCGTGCGACCGTACGTGCGTGCCTGCCCTCACGCACTGTTATCGCCCACGTGACTATGTATGTATGTATGTATGTATGTATGTCGACAGAGGGCAGCGCTAGGCCCGCTGTGGTGCCCTCAACCTACTTTTAGATTAGAGGGTCATGTAGGCGACATCCATGTCCAGTGGACAACGCAGGCCGGTGAGCTGTACACTGGGCACGCGCGCGTAATAATAGAGCTCAAACAGGTAATAGACCCCGCGAGCGTATAGAATCAGGATTTTACAGGATGTGGACAGCCGGCCCTGTGACGGTGATGGATGCGTGCAAATCTGAGGGCTTGAGTCGATTGTATTGTGGTGCTAGTGTACTCTGATAAGTGAAATAGCCCGAACCAGGTAGCTCACCTGCTCCGCATCGCGGGGGGCCGTTCCAATTTACAGGTGTACATGGGGAGATATGTCGACGCTCGTGAGTGAATGGGGAATAGCTGATTTGTGCGAAGGTGATGTGTGGGTTATGATGGTGCTGTTACTTTATCAGTATTGAGTTTCACGCTACATAAATATTTATAGTAGCATGGTTAAGATTTATAGTTCGTAGTATAGTATAGTTAAGTCATATTTCTTTGTTAATGAAGTAAGACGCATGAGTTGATAAATTGTTATCGGGTCTTCTCCGATATATTCAAGGTTGATGGCGATAATTAAAACAACGAAGAGCTGCAATTGTAGAAAGTGATAATAAATATTTGTAAATGAATCTCGTTTGTTTGTGAATCCTCTTTATCGACACTAGGCAGGGTATGATGTTGAGGCGAAGTTCGGGACTGATCTGGTATCATCTTCCTTGAGTTTACTAATCTTGATCAACCTGTTTCAAGTATGTGGATTAGTACGTCGCAGTTTATTTTTGCGCAATCTCGGGCGCGCGCACTAAATTTTCTGTTAAAAATGACAGCTATTATGTTGCTACATCCTTGAGTTGTATGGCGTTCGCGCGTTACGTTTAATGCGGGAAATTTGAAGGACGGATTTTACCGGTTTGAGAAAATGGATTTGATTGTAGTTGTGTTTGGTGGAGCAAGGCGGTAGGTTCGTTTTTTTAGGGGTGATTAGTGGGAGTGTTCTAACCTGGTGGTGGTGGAGGAACTGCTAATACCGGATGAAGGGGTAACCTGGAGGCAGTGATTGGATCTCTACTGGTTCGGAGAGTGGGAGTCCCTTATTTAGGTTGTCTGCTGAATATCTGTGTCAAGTCGTCAATCTGGAATAACTCGGGTTTTAGTAATTTATAAGGTGGGCTGTAACATTGCGTTCCAGCCCTGAGAGGGAAAAGAAACTGGTAAGAAGATGTGATTATTGGAAAATTGATGCAGATTACATATTTTATTGACTGATCATAACAAGGAATAATGTTATGTGGAGTCCAACTTGTAGTTATTCATCTCATGTGATGGTTTAGCGAAGATTTCTGGATCGGAGTAGTATGATGCAGATATCAGATTTCGTGGTGCTGATCCATTGTGTTGATGTACTGCTGCTTAAACTGGTTTCCACGTACGTATGTCACAAGGGTAGCCGGGGTACTCGAATCCTAATTAGATCTCTAGCTTTGTGTTCGCTGTAGAGTGGAGAGTGGATATCCATAGTGCTGTGTACCTGTGAAGGGTTAAAATTCCAAGGTTGCTGAAATGGTGATGGTGTTAGAGAAAGACGCAAGGTGTAACACACCGTGGTAAGAAAGGCATTATGGTAGCAGAGAGTGCATTATGACAGGAGAATGAGCAAAAGTAATGCAAATGAAAAAAAAGGACAGAATTGCTGAGGTGATTGAGTGAGTGAGATGCTGCATTGCTACTGGCTGACTCGCCAGCAACAATGCAAGTCCAAGAAGAAAGAAGGAGAGACACTGTCCGTTATCTGGGTGAGCCACCACCGACAGTGCTCCCACTTATGTGGGGCTGAGGGTGTTGGCTCCAAGAACCAGCCGTGAGCAAACAGCGCCTGTCCCCCTCTATGGTTAACTTGAGAGTAACAGGACTATGCCATTCTCCAGGCCAATCCGTTCAGTAACCAGCTGACCCAGCACCACCTCTGATGGAAGATGTGGTTCGGATTGGACTTCGCTAGGATTTGTCAGTTTTTCTGTAGACACTAATGCTCCCTCGAGGAAAGACATGAGCCCCGGCGAAATTGACCAAAAACGTGACAGGGATTCTCACCCTGTCGCCCACGTGACTACCTGCGCAAAGTTATTTTGCGCACAAATCTGAATTAAATAATTGTTGGCGCGCGGCGCTGAACTGACCAAGTACATTATTAATTTCACAATGTACATATCCCACTAGGCACTAGTTGATAGCATACTATTATTATTTTGAGTTACTATTACTATTTTGCACAGATCCGTGTCACTGTCGGGTGTCAGGTTGCATAAACAATAAGCATATATATACACGATTTTCAAATTCAATATGGAATTACCTTACTCGGGATTATTATAACCGGGATAAAGTGGTGGGTTTTTGAAGATTCCGCCATATTTTGTAAGAAAAGTGAGGTTGAAAACTATAGACCAATATCCCTTACTTGTTTAGTCATGAAAGTTTTTGAGCGCATTGTTAAACGTAAACTGCTTTCTTTGACAAGTACCCTTCTTGATCCCAGGCAGCATGGTTTTCTAGAGCACAAGTCATGCACAACCAATATGGTTGATTTTTGTGATAGCCTGGCATTGTCTCTTAACGAAAACATTATCAATCATGTTGTGTATTTTGATTTTGCTAAGGCATTTGATTCTGTAAATCATGATATCCTTCTTCATAAGCTAAAGACCTTATATAACATTGATGGTACACTTCTCAAATTTCTTACCAATTACCTTCAAGGCCGTTACCAAAGAGTGGTTATTGGTAATGAGATGTCATCTACCCTCTCAGTTAATTCTGGTGTCCCCCAGGGCTCTATCCTTGGTCCCTTACTTTTTGTATTGTTTATCAATGATATTCCTCTTGGCCTTTCGGATAATACTGATATTGTTTTGTATGCCGATGATACAAAAATCTGGCGTAAAATACATTCATCTTCTGATAATACCAATTTACAAATGGATATAGACTATCTCTCTGACTGGGCACTTAGAAACAAAATGCGATTCCATCCAGCAAAATGTAAAGTGCTTATTGTTTCAGGAAAACCATCTTTATCTCCTCCATTCGCATATAATCTTGATGGCTCTCCTCTTGTGTATGTAGAGTTAGAAAAAGATCTTGGAGTCGATGTTACTCCTAAGCTCAGTTGGAATAGTCAGTGCGACAGAATTTATACTAAGGCCTGCCAACAACTTGGTATGGTCAGAAGAGATGGCCATATTGTCATTGATCAGAAACGTCGCCGGGCGCTTTACCTCTCCCTGGTTCGTAGCCAATTCGAAAATTGTTCCATAATCTGGCGCCCTTGTAATAAATCACTTAGTGATAAATTAGAAAGTCTCCAAAAGAGAGCTATTAAATGGATTCTGTCTGAAGAGGGCCGCAGTTATCCACCTGAGCAATATGTCAAAAAGTGCAAGCTTGTCGACATTCTCCCTTTGTCTCAAAAGTTTGACTTGAATGATCTTATTTTTTTCCACAAAGTTCTGAACAATTTAATTCCTGTATGGCTGCCTCACTATCTCACTTTATATCAGGGCACTTCTCGACTAAGACGTTGCCACCTCGACAGTCTGTCTATTGTGTCATCAATTTTACCTAAGTTAAGTCAGAATTCACACACCTTATGTACCTCAAATAGCCCACTGGCAAAATCATTTTTCTACAGAACTCATATACTGTGGAATGGACTCCCTTTACAGGTAAGACAGATTGTGTCTACAAGTGTTTTCAAAGCTGAGGTCACTAAGCATCTATGGAAATGTTTATTGGATAGTGAAACAACAGCCTAGCCTAGTCTCTTAGCTCCCCATATTATTATTATTTTATTAATTTTTTTATCTACCTTCCTATACTTTCAACATCTTATCACACTTCACCCGCACACCTCACACATTAATGACCATATCAGACCTGTATCTAATGTATCTGGAATTTGACGTATTGAAATACCAATTTTGACTATATATCCACAGTTATTCACCATGGATTTGTTTGTTATTAAATAGTTTTTCATAAATTTTTGGATTTAGATTAATTCGATGTAATGGGTCCAAGTTACTGCGGACATAGTTCACTATGTGTTTACCGTGTTTGGGTGCCCATCATATTTTACAGATGGGGGCGATATTTTGAACGATTCTATTTTATATTCATCTATTGCTGTACTCTGTAAAATTTGAAAAGTATTTAATAAAAAAAAAAAAAAAAAAATATAACTGGTTAAAATTAATTAAAAAACAAACAAATGATGTCATCCTCTCGTCAACTGAAAAACGGTCAGCAGCAGGGGGATATCAATAATGATAATGGAGGGGACATTAGCGATAATGAGATTGAGAATACGCTTTAATGAACATTTGACTTATTATTGCTATAGATTTATTTTCCTTTAAAAACTAGACGTGTATTTTTTTCTATTTCTGAGTAATATCAGTAACTGTAAATTGAAATAACTTCTTTAACAAGTAACAAAAACAGAAATTTCGGTTGAAAATTTGTTGACCTCTGAAAAAAAACTTGAAAGGTCGGCCACCGGTAAATACATGACCGGGATAATTTGGCGGGTTTTGGGAAAGTCCGCCATATTTTTCCCGGTTATTAATTTTCCCAGTCATAAATTAACCCGCTATAATATTCCCGAGTAAGGTATATTAACTTGGTGGCGCTCGGCCTGTCACTCCGCTATATCTGCATGCTTATAAACAGTTAAAACTGGGATCTACAGGTTGTATGGAATATGATAAAATACGCCATCACGGATCGGGAAATTGAGCGGCCATCCACAAAAAAAGCGGCCGCATTTCTTGTTCTTGGGTTTACTTTCTTGTGTCTCTGAATTTTAAAAAGATTTATCGCTCCTTCGACACCTTAAGCACCATTTTTAGCACTTGTAGCACCCAGTGGCGTAACGTTGCCTGTTGGCGCCCCCGCCGAAAATGCGCCCCCGACGAAAATGCGCTCCCCTGATGGCACCCCTTCCCCTTTTGGCGCCCCTCCCTAAAATTGAACAAATTAGATGATTTTAGAGGATACGCTGGTAAAATCTCTAAAAAAGTGTGTTTCTAGAGCAAAACGTACATTTTTGCTGGTACCGTAGGTAAGTTTTTCCAAATTGTCCCACATTCAAACGACGATTTGGCGCCCCCCTAAGATGGCGCCCCCCAATATGGCGCCCCCCCCCCGCACAGCGGGATCAGCGCGGCCCTTCGTTACGCCACTGGTAGCACCTTCTTGATACGTTATATCATGGTGGTGGGTGTAAATTTTAGGTTTGGATGTGTTGGAGGCAAAGGGACAAGAGTAGAGTATCTGACGGTGGGTAACCATAATATGGAGAAAAAAATCTTGTTTCATTGAATAATCGCCTGGTAAATGATAATGATCGTCTCATCATCACCTCACTGTCATCTATCAACTCAAGTTATCTTGAGTACTATGTCATCACAGTACAAGTTATCACAGTACTATGAAATCATTAACAGCCCCGCCTCCCCGGCCCCCATCATTGGAACTAGCATTTCGTTGTGTACAAAAGCTTTCATACCCACAAATTCCTTGAACTATTGGTTGCCTGTCTTGTTTTACTGACTTCTTAGGCTTTTTGTATGCTCTCTTAGGATTAAAATGTGTCAATAGCAGCAAAAAAGTTATTATATGGATGCTCGCCCTGTCTAACACCCAGATGCTTTTTTCGGAGAGTTTTTCCTAATATAATGGCAAACAATATGTCAAACAGCATACATGTATACATACAACAAATTAAATCAGATACTTTCTTTTTAGGCTTCATGTTTGTTTACCTGTAGTCTAAAAGTGACAGAAAAAGTATTATCAGTCTTACACTGCCACTCATTGCATGACATGAGAGATTCAGTTAAAGACACTCTATGGTTTACACTGAACATTTTTGTAGAAGGTCTTAAAAACATGACTTGTTAGATAAGTTACTGTATATAACTGTTAATGATCTATATTTCCTAAATTCGAATGGTTAAGACTCGAGATTTTGATGTATTTTTTAACCCTTTCAGTTAATTCGTTCGCATTGTGATATTTAAAAAAATCTGATATTAAGTCCAACATGTAGCCAGTATGTCATGGCAGTCCCATACACTTTTAAAGTACGTTTTATGGACGACAGGAATCCGTTCACTGTGGCATACGCAGAGCCAACAGTGCCTCCAACATTCGTGTTCTTGGAAGATGAGACTCTCTTAGAACCAGATACCTCGACTGATCAAAGTTCTAAATGCTCCACACCAGGTTAGTTTCGAAAGGATTTCCTTAAAATAAGAATATTCTAAATTTTCATTAGCTTCTATCTTTGATTTCGTTCATGTCGTTACAGGATGCTGTAGGCCAGAATGGTAACCTTTACCTGTTACCCTTTTATAAGGCTGACAGTAATATTTATCTGAAGAAATTGATTTATCTTAATAAAATTAGTTTACTGGAATAAGTCATTAAGTCTACTACTACTGCTTGCTACTACTACTACATGTACAGCAAACGTCCAGAAAGTCGGTACAAGTATTGCCATTCATTTGTGGGACCTTCATATTACACGATTATTACGAAATGCAAAATCCAATTGGGGTAAAAAGTAATCTATTTATTACAATAACACATGGTCTTCAATTTTGATCCAGTACTTAACAACTTAAATATCCTACTGATTTTAAATTCCCAAAAGTCTGAAGCCAGAAACAGACAACTTTTAAAGACAGTGATCTTACATTATATATTATGGACCTGGACTAGTAATTATAGTAACACCTAGTAACACCTAGTAACACCTAGTATCTTCTTTTAAAGACAGTGATATTACCTACAGGTAGACGAAGCTGCACTACAAGTCTCTATAGATAACTCCTACCTGGACCTGGATTCCACAATAGTAAATCTGTGCGAGGGTGGAAGTTTAGATCCCACAAATCGCAAGACAATCCTAATTCTCAGGACCAGTCTGTCTGTCAGAGTCCACAACTGCTGTGGTCAGTATCTACTTGCTGCACCTTAGTAACACCTTAGTAACACCTTAGTAACACCTTAGTAACACCTTAGTAACACCTTAGTAACACCTTAGTAACACCTAGTATCTACTTGCTGCACCTTAGTAACACTTAGTAACACCTTAGTAACACCTTAGTAACACCTTAGTAACACCTAGTATCTACTTGCTGCGTGTTATTGCCATGTTTTTGTGAAGTTTAACGAAGTTGTGTGTTCTGCTTGCCATAGCAAGGCACTTAACGTCATGTTTACCATCACATATGTATATTTGCTTAAACTTATTACGTTGCATATTATAGATTACGTATTGTTGTTGAAATTTACATTTTCTGTTGATAACGAAACTTGCTTTAATCTTTAAATTAATCATACAATTCTCCTTTTAGAAACGCTACAAAAATCCAGTGGTAGGGACTTGAGAAAAGCTTTGTTCTCGTTGAAGCGTATATTCAAGGTAAGTTACCCTTTATCACATCTAATTTTAGGACCTCATGTTACACTTCAGCCGTTTTAATGTTATCTAAGAACACGATTTTGTAGGATATTTGAAATTTAGCATAATACCAACACATGACCGGTATAAAAGCTTCGTCGTCGAGAGGTTAATTAAATCCCGTCTTACTCTAATACTCTAATATAACCCTAAAATACTATAAATATTATTCATTTTGCTCGTACTCAGATCCGATCTGTGAGAACTGATAAAAATATGTCTTGGATAAGTTGCTCAGTATTTCTGAAATTGTTCTTCGTAAACCTAATATTATAATGTAAGAGCTGACGTTGGTATCGATGTATATTATATATATATTTCATTGCTGAACTTCTACACAATAAAAAAAGCGGTTTTGACTAGATCCTCGTAATTCTTTGCATCATTTATTAACATCAATTCTCAAATTATTAGTTATATAGTAGTGTTGATTGTTGAAAGTATTAAAACTGTATATATATATAATATATATATTATATATTGATGTTGGTAGGTCTTAGAGCGCTGCTCTATAACAGACGATACGCTGTGTGCATATTATTGGAAGATTTCATTACACGGCTGTGTCTTGTAGTTAGGGATGCTGTGTTGTATAGTGTAATGACCTGGTTACCTGGTTACCTAGTTACCTGGTTACAAGGTTACCTGGTTACCCGGTTACCTGGTTACCTGGTTACCTGGTTACCTGGTTACCTGGTTACAAGGTTACCTGGTTACCCGGTTACCTGGTTACCTGGTTACCTGGTTACACGGCTGTGTCTTGTAGTTTGGGATGCTGTGTTGTATAGTGTAATGTGATCATTCCAGTAGCGGCCTCCAATTTGAAGGGGCTACCTAATGTTACACTCAAGTTACACTCAAGTTACCTCCCTGGCCTGGATCACTGTGTGAGTGTGGAATGCCATTGTTTGTCTTCGTCCTTTATTAGATGCCAATTTCTGTGTAACAAAGAATCGTTCGTATCATACAGTAAATGTAGTAAAATTTAGGACCAATTTCGTGATCAGCATTTAAGTCGGGCTGTTTCCAGGGATACGATTTCGGTTGGTAATTTAAGTTGCGGCGACTGCGGATATCGTGTTACTAAACTACGATTCCTATAATTGATACTGATTACAAGTGGCCTGAAGGACATCTTTATGTATGATAAGGGGATCTTTCATTCATTTTAGAGATAATTCGGTGCATTTTTATTAAAAGATGACCACTGATAAACTTTTCTATCAGTCAAAGGTATTTAATCATCACAATTGGAGTAAAAATGTCCTCAAAATACGGTGATAAAATCATGCTGTTTTCTAAAATATTCGAAAAGTGTGATCTCATTAAAACGTTCCATGCAAACGAGAATCTGATTTTCAGAATTGGACTACAGTAATCGGATGAGTCATGTGATCAGTTACCTCCGATCCTATAGGTCGAGCGGTACATTGTCCTAATTCTATTGGTGTACTTGATTATATGTGCCTGAAAAACAATTATGTCGTTGAGGTGCTTTAGGTAGTGGGCTTACAGTTACATCCTTCTCTATTGTCCCTATCACTCTACACTCATTCTTTTTACACAAATGATAAAGAAATTCAGAAAATAAAAAAGTTATTGTATCATTTTTGACCAGCGTGGCAGTTAAATTAAAAGTTTAAAAACTTAAAAGAAGGGTCATATTAAGTTACTAAAGTTGGATAAGGTTGCAAGCGGCGTCGTACCCTCTACTAACTACTTATCATACTACGTATTATCAACTATATTACGTAAAGATATGCGTCATCTTAGGTTAATTGTGAGGTGAGCTGTTTAACAGCATATGCCACCATGCTAGAGATCCTTGTTGATATTTCTTGTGAATAAGAATCAGGTTACCGTGCTTGCGTCATACTAGATGTGTGATGTTCCCACACCGAACCTTCTAGTGCTAAGGTATGGGTTGAGTATTAGCTATGGATAACCTGGTTACCTGGTTACCTGGTTACCTGGTTACTGTGCTTGCGTCATACTAGATGTGTGATGTTCCCACACCGAACCTTCTAGTGCTAAGGTATGGGTTGAGTATTAGCTATGGATAATATACAGTGATAACTGGTATAACTGGTAAACGTAGTGTATATTATATTAAGGAACTATTATATTATATATCCCTCAGACTATAACAAGATACCATCTAGATATTCTCCTCCGCAGGACGACCAAGATCTGGTGCACTGTTTTGTTGACAAGGGAGGTCTGGATACCCTAGTCAGTGTGGGGGAGGATGCTGATCACAACTACATTATCTACATTATCAGGGGTGAGTATTGGGAGTACTATACGGTCTATATAATACCTGTCTTATATTCGCTATTTTTTGTATATTTTTAAATATTTTTGCATATATTTTTATGTTTTAGCGTCATCTCATAGATTCTAAGATGCGATATTATAGTCTGAAGTTGCTGAGCAGAGACCGTCTTGTCGCCATATTTGTCAATGTCCAACCTTCAACAGTCCCTACTAGTGAGCCTTTACACCAGCCCCGCCCACTCTCTGCACACATGTCCACGTGACATGTTACCCGTCACCATAGTAACGCCCACTAACTACACACTTCACACATTCTTTACATTGTGACTGGTAATTGTGCTCTAAATTACATGTTACATATTGTAACATTCCTCGACCACATGTAGATAGTGCCCCTTACTTCTATTACAGATACCTGTAACTCTATATCTGGAGCATTCAATTTTACGCGGGAATAAAAATATATATATCACAATACTGTAAAAATGGTCGCTAGTACTGCAGTAATGATAATATCATAGCTGCAATGGATTTAAATGCAGACTAAATCATTGCACCCTGCTGCAGTTTCTTAAAGTTGAGATTTCAAAACAAGTACATATGATTGCATGATATATACAGTGACCAGTGTGCTGTAATCTTGTACATCTAAGTCTGTCTGCTTCAAGTACTTATTTTAAGATACGTATAACAACGTACTGTGCCTGAGTCAGTGTGGTAGCCAGGTAACCAGGTAACCAGGTAACCAGGTAACCAGGTAACCAGGTAACCAGGTAACCATGTAACCAGGTAACCAGGTAACCATGTAACCAGGTAACCAGGTAGTCTGTCTGCTTCAAGTACTTATTTTAAGATACGTATAACAACGTACTGTGCCTGACTTAGGAGGGTCACATTAATGCACTCCAGGGCTCCTGGATCGAATCTAAATTTGATCTAGATTCTATTGTTTGGTGTGTATGACACGTCAAACCTTTCCTCTGTGCTATTATTCTGGAAGTTATTTTAAGGTTAAGTGAATTTCCAAATTCTGTAACATTACAATTGTCAGCTAATGTTTCTTGCTAATGTTTCCTCGTCTCACAATTCATGACAAAACGTACAGGCTCCTTAATATGTCAATTCAATTGTGCTCTGTAACCCCGAGCAGCTCACCAATGTTCCAGCTGATATGATACAGTCTATACAGACTATACACAGTAGTAGACTATATAATATAGTCTACTAGTTGTCTGTACTAGGCAACCTTACTCAGTTTAAGTGCAGCAGATTTGATAAGTCTGTTTTAATTAATACACAGAGCTCTACCGATCAGGATAACATTTATAGGCAGGGAGCCAGCTCTGACACTTGTGATATTGGCACCGAGCCAGCTGTACCAATTCATTTGAACTGTTCATTTTATTACAGCTATTGTGGGGTGGATTATGAGAACAAGCTATTATGGGGTGGATTACTAGTGTATGTAACCATGGTAACTAGTAGTGTAACCATGGTAACTAGGGGGATTATGACAAGAATATGTTTTACCCTTCAAAAAATGTAGCCTAGCCATGTGTGAAAAAGTTTGACCAGATCCGATGACAAGCCGAACGTCAAAAAAACGACGCCTTTTTACAAATCTTACCTGTTGACTGACGACTCAGTTGCCAAAATAAATAACATGTCATTTGAACAAGTGTGAATAACTGCATGTCGGATCATTCCATTATTCGAAGATCAAATTAAGTTTCGCCACAATACAATTCAAATAAGTTTGAGTATTTGTATGTCTCCGACTGCAAACAGTCCTAACGAGTAACGATATTAGCGTTATATTTAGCGTCTAAAACCCTTACCTTTCTGTTTATTGGTAGGTTACGAAGTTTTTTGACGGTGATTTCATTTTTCAACTCTTACTTAATCACCACCTCAAGATCACTCTAGACAGGACTGTATATGTAACGGGTCACGTCATTCAACAAAATCTTTATCAAATCAAACGCCACACCACGTCACCTGCTATCAATACGTTTCCAAAAACCCAACCCGTCCCGCTATCAAAACGTTTCGAAACCCCACTCCAGTCACCGCTACCCAATTTCGTTTCCAAAACCCCAACACCAGTCACCTTTTGCACAATCCTTTCCCCCAAACCCCCACGTAGTTTTAAAATACTTTCCCAGAACACCCCCCATAAAATCTATCAATACTTTCCCCAAAACCCCAAACCAGCCCTGTAAAAATACTTTTCCAAAACACCACCCCAGTTCTGCTATAATTTCTTTTCCAAACACCACCCCCGTCACCTGCTATAATCGTTTCGAAACACTCCCCCGTAGGGATCAATCTTTTCCAAAAAAAACCACCCACGTCATTATCAATGTTTCCCAGAAACCACACCACGTCCCCCTGCTATCAATTTTTCCGAACAACCCCCAGTCACCTGTATCAATAGTTTCCAGAAAACCACCCCACGTACCTGTTCATATTTTTTCCCGAACACCACCCCCTCCCTGCTATAAATTCGCCCAGAACCACTCAGATGTTCAATACTTTCCCCCGAACACCACCCACGTCCCCCTGTACAAAAATTTCCAAAAACACCACCCCCACGTCACGCTATCAATCGTTTCCAAAAAACCACACCACGTCCCCTGTTCATAGTTAAAAAAACCCCCCCACCCCAGTCACTGCTGTTAAAAATAGTTTCCAGCCCCACCCCAGCCCCTGTACAATCTTTCCGAACCCCACCCACCTCTCCTGCATCAAAAAAGTTCCAAAACCCCACTCAGCCCCCTGCTAAAAATTTTCCAGAACCCCAACCCCCAGTACCTCTATCAATACTTTTCCAGAACACCACCCCACGTCCCCTGCTATAATCGTTTCCAAAAACCCCCCACGTCCCCGCTATTATATTTTTCCCGAAACCCCACTCCCACTCCCCCCCTGCTACAAAACTTTTCCGAACACCCTCCAGTCCCCTGCTATCATTACGTTTCCAGAAAAACCCACACGTCACTGTTTCAATATTTTCCCAGAACACCCTCCACGTCCCCTGCTTCAAAACGTTTCCGGAACCCAACCCGTCCTGATCAATACTTTTTCCAGAACACCCACCCCCACGCCCGCTTTCAAATTTTCCCGAACCACACCCCCGTCCCCCTGTTAAATATTTTTCCCCAAACACCACAGCACGCCCCTGTTCAATACTTTCCCAGAACACCCCCCCGTCATGTATCAATACGTTTCCAGAAAAACCACCCCACGTCATCTATTCTTTCCAGAACCCCCACTCCACGCACCTGCTTCATATTTTCCCCGAAACCCCCCCATCCGTCACCGCTTCAATAGTTTTAAAACATAACCACGTCATGTTTTAAATATTTCCCAGAACCCACTCCAGTCCCCTGCCAATACGTTTCCCAGAAAACCACCCCACGTCCCCCTGCTATCAAACGTTTAAAAAAACCCACCCACGTCCCCTCTATAAATACTTTTCCCCAAAACAAAAAACCCCGTCACGATAAATTACTTTTCCGAAAACCCAAACGTCACCTGTTCAAACGTTTCCAGAACCCACGCGTCCCCTGCTATTAATACCTTTTCCCCGAACAACAGCACGTCCCCTGTATAAATCTTTCCCCAGAACCCCACCCCACGTATGCTTTAATCGTTTCCGAACACCACCCCGTCATGATAAAAATAGTTTCGAAACCCCCAACTCATGCTTCATCTTTTTCCCGAACCCAACCACGTCATGCCCCTATCAATTCTTTTCCCGAACCCCCCCATCCCCTGTATAAATATTTTTCCAGAACACACCCACGTATGTATAAAATTTCCTTTAGAAACCACTCCCTCACCGCTATCATACTTTTCCAGCAAACCCCCGTCCCTGCTTTCAATTTTTCCAGAAACCCAAAAACCCGGCAGCTTCAATCGTTTCCAGAAAAACCCACGTCACCTGTTAAATAGTTCCAAACCCACAACGTCATGTATCAATATTTTCCCCGAAAACCCCCCACGTCCCTGTATCAATACTTTTCCGAAACCACTCCCACGACCTGCTATCAATACTTTTCCCCAAAACACCACTAAACAACCTATCAATTTAGTTTAAAACCAAAAACCACGTCACCGCTTCAAACGTTTCCCAGAACCCAAAACCACGACTGTTTAAATCGTTTCCCAAAACACCCAACCCCGTCCCCTGTTCAATATTTTTCCCAAAAACCCCAACCCCACGTCACTCCCTATCAATACGTTTCCAGAACCCCAACCAGTCACCTGCTAAAATAGTTTCCAAAAACCCACCCAGTCCCCCTGTATCAAATAGTTTCCAGAACAACCCTACGTCCCTGCTATCAATCTTTCCCAAACACCACCCACGTACTGCAAATATTTCCAGAACACCCAAGCCCCTGTATCAATACTTTTCCAAACCCCCCAAAGTCATGTATCTTTTCGTTTCAGAAAATCCAGTCCCTGATAATCGTTTCCAAACACCAACCACGTCCCCTGCTTTCAATAGTTTAAAACAAAAAAGTCCCTGTATAAATTTTTTCCAGAACCCACTCCCGCACTGTTTTCAATAGTTTCCGAAACCACCCCCTGTACCTTTTTCATACTTTCCAAACCCACACCACGTCACTGCTAAAATTCGTTTAAAGAACCCCACTATGTCCCTGCTTAAAACGTTTCCGAACCCCATCCACGTACCTGCTAAAAATACGTTTCCAAAAAAACCCCACTCCACGTCATGCTCCATATTTTCCCAGAAAAAACCAACCAGGGGTCCCCGGGTTTTAATACGTTTCCCAGAACACCCCCAAAGCACGCTACATTTTCCCCAAAACCACCCACGTCCTGTATCAATACTTTTTTCCAGGACACCACTCCACGTCCCCTGCTATCAACGTTTCCAGAAACCCCAGTATGTATCTTTATTTTTTCCAAAACCACCCCCACGTACCTGTATCAAAACGTTTCCAGAACACCACCCACGTCACTGCTATCTTTACTTTC